GATTTTTTACTGAGTTTGCGAAACTGTATCTCTTATTGTTAAACGTATCATTCTTCAATCTTGTGTCTAGAGACTACACATCGCCTAAACATCATAAAAGACTTTGTTGAAATACTTGTTCAAATAATATTGCGCAACAAGTCTACTGAAAACAAAACAAATATACCTGGCAATGTTTATTGACGACCAACTTTCGAGCACTTGACTAATCTAATTATGATGCAAAGCATTTTCCTGTAGTCAGTCGCGAGTTTTTTTTCTTGGCACACAACTCGAGATCGCTATTCTATATCACGATAATTTAAAGATCGAAGACTCGTAAGGTTTTCATTCAAACGTTGTTACAAGGTCTCAGTCATTCACTTTTACAGTTGTAATGTACATTCTACATTTTTCTTATTTTCTATCAATTTCTATTCTACAACGTTTAGTACAATCTCTCGTACATATCTTTATTAAATTTTGTTTTATCATATCAGATGTATGGAAATCATATTCTTGAAAATAGTAGCGTGACTAGCCGAAACGTTGAAATAAAACAAATTTTTTTATACAAATTTTTTAATAATAATAACTAAATCATGTTTAAAAAAGTCACTGTCTGATGTGTATCTTTATTTAAATCAAATAATTTATTATCCAAGAGAAATCTTGACAGAACATTTCTGTCAAAGTTAATATATCAATTGTTTCTAGCTGTCGGCTTAACACAGTGCCAATAATCGATCTGAGATTTACATAAATGCTAGCATGTACAAGTTTAGAGTAATAGTGAAGAGTACTATCTAAGAAAAACGTTGAGTTTCCGCACTAAGCGAATAGCATTATTCACAAAGATGTAAAAAAACATGTACAAAATATAATTCATTACATATGGCAAAAACGATGGAAAAGTCACATAAATATTCATTGATATATGATCCATATGTCTTATATCTTCACTAGTTTGAGAAAGCGTAGTGTTCTAATATACGTGAAGTATAACAAGAAAAGAAACGGGTATTAAGCAAGTAACAATCCAATAGCAAAATGCAAAGCTATCTACACAAAGAAAAATATGAAGTTGTATTACTTTCCATTCGTCTAACCATTGTATATGTCGATGGGACGACGTTTAATTGTATGAGGGTACTTGGTATCGAGCAAAAACTGATTGATTTGAATAATATTAGTTTACGAATAGTTTTCTTTCGTTGAGTGAGTAAAAGAATAAGATAAATTTTCCGGATAATATGGAAGTAGTTTATGGTAGACTGAATAGCAATTTACATGAGTGGAGCTAATAATAACTGTCCATAAACACCATACAGTCTAAGATTCTTTATTTTTTGAATTTTACATCTCGGCAACATAATTATTGATGTGCTATTGAGTAAGTGGAAATGGACAAGTTTCTTTCAAATTCTCTAATAAATATACAAAATATGTCGGTGTTGTGAACAAAAAGTGCCTGAAAATAAACAGTAGGTGCAGGTATAATAACCATTATGTGCTGAAATCTGATTACACTTTGTTCTTGAGGGCAGATCACCATCTACTGTCAAAACATCAATTTCAAATAGCATCGTACTTGAAAAGAAAAAGTTAAGAGAAAAAAATCGACAATAATAAGAGCAGGAGAGAAGATAGATGTGCTTTATGAGTGGAATAGAGGCCTCGCTCTCACCATATCACAATTCAGAACCAAACAGTCACACAGCTACACGTCGACACCCTGATATTTTAATCTTTGGTAGCACTCATTGGGATTCCCTCAAAAAGAAAATTTCAAGAAATTCTGATGTGTCAATGTTGAGCAAATCGAGATGCAACATGATGTTTTTAAAGACACCTGACTCTTGAAATCCATATATTAGAAGCGAAGAGTGTTTTCGAGAAATTTGGTATATTGCATTTATATAAACATAGTATAAGCTTCATTTTTCATTCTAATATGTAAGAGTCTTTAATTAAGCATATAAGTTTTTGTAAGCAGTTCAAATTAAGCATAAAGTACCAAATTTTCCGATTTTGAAAGAGTTCACAAACAATGACTTGTCGAGATATAACTCTGAAAATTATTTTATATGGGCAAATTTTCTGCTCTTTTCAACGATCAAATTAAAGCTTTCCAAGAATATTCACGGCGAATAAAACAGACAGGTTTTTTGGGATATTTGTCGATAAAAACAACTTTTCTATCTGCTCTACTGGAGTTAGCGCATGATCTGAATTAAAACTAAATCTGTCGACGCTTATAAAACTAACACGTTTGAATCCTGTCGGCAGAAAGTTCCGCAAAAAGTAGATCAATCTGTGTTGAAGTACTCGCACATATCATACTCCAATGTTACACATATCAGTCGATAATTTACAAGTGAGAAAACTACTAGTCTAACTTCATACCTAAATTGAAATAAAACCGTTATTTCGTGATCAATAAAGATGAATTTAAGACGTCCAAATCTTCCCATCGGATTTTTTCTGATATTTGTATTGTTCTTCACGCACAATGATCTTCTTCTTTAATGCTTCTGTAGGACTTTGCAGTTTGGAAGTGTATTTTGCATCTTGGCATTAGCTTTTGTAAGATCAGCAGTTGTACTGTTAAGATATGCAATTGTGTTATTTCGATCGGCAACTGTCTGCACCATAGTCTATAGACTTTGATCAGGACTATCATTGAGTTATTCTGAAAAAAACGACAAAACCATTAAAATTTCGTTCCTGTAAAGTGGTTTTCTAAAATAGAGTTTTGACATAACTCGAAAATCATGTGCTAGTATACTGATTGTATGAGAATGTATGCAATTAACACTATTTGTTGCTTTCATATAATTGTATGATATCAGAATTGAACATTACTTGTTTTCTCTTGAGCGGCGATTTATTCACTGTGTGCATCGATTCAGAAACCAGAGTAGTAGCTTATTATTAAATTTGAAACAAGACTAATTTGGAAGTTATACTATACCTTCTCTGTGCACATGTGTTGGTTGAATATTAGCAAACAAAGATTTCGATTATTTTAGAGAGAGACAATTCTTCCGTTACTTGCGATTTCATATATTGAGCCTATGTTCCATTTATTTAAAGTAAAGATATTTTGTTGTAGATATCGTGATCTATAAGAATATGTCAGAAATAAATTTCTTCGAATGTATCCATTTTTTGTCGACAATAAAAACTCAATGGTATTTTTCGTGTACGGTAGTCCTAATAGAGGTTCCTTCACGTCAAGGAATAAACAAAATTTTATTTGTTGACATTCTTATTTCGCTACATGATTAACGAAACAAAAGATCAGGCATGTGCTTTATTTACATCAGTTTTTCTTTGATTCAAAACATTTTTAGTATAAATGAACTGTTGAAAAAATTTATATTTTAAATAATTTATTCAATCAGTTGAATAAAAATTAAAACAAAAATCATATATTCAATTGAAACATATTTAAACGTTTTCAGTGGATTTTCAGATCTTGCTATAAAAACAACAAGTCAGTTATAGTAAGACTATATTTTTTCTATGCTAGTGTTTTTATCCAGCAAACTCTTTTAACGATTTGAGAAGAACAAAACATGAATATAGATTGTTATTCGTTTGAAGTCTATAAGCAAATTGTTCATTATTTATACTAAGGTTAAAAGAAATTTTTTCTTAACAATTGATTTTAATATTTCTCCTGAATTATTACTTAATTTTGAAAAAAAATATTTCACCCATTCGATCCTTCTTATTTCAATCAAGGGTATATTTACGTAGCCAGTATGATATACAATAAAATTGTGGTTATAGTATTATTATCCTGTGTAGATAGAAACTTAATTAACTAATATTTGATTAGCGTTTGAAGTGCAAAAAGTTGCGTTTTTAGCACTTGACGTAATTATCAGCAATGAATCGAGAGTGCATAGTATTTTGAATCTTTGTTGTTAATTATTGCAATTTACACTGAAGTTTTTTTAATTTGAATTTTTGATATGTTAATATTTACCAAAAAAGTGTGAGCACGGATGGAATATAGATTTTGCCCTCACTCATATCTCATTAGAAACCAAACAATCACACTTACATACAATCTACACTCATACCCAAAACACACATGGACTCCAGTATCTTGTATTGACTCAACCGTTGATCAACGCTAAAAGAACAATATTATACCCAGACAGTGTTGAAAAGATACAGATGTTCGATGATTATTATAATTTAATCAAAATAATCTATAACTTTGCTTTCTTCTTTTGTTTACGTCATTAATACTTTGACGTGTGTATCTTTTCTAGTTTATTACTTATCTCGATTTCATTTGTATATGTTGTATTTATAAACTCAAAGTATAATATACAGTTGTTTTTATATAGATATTGGAAGATATCAGTACTTAAATATTGAATTAAACAGATATGTTTTATTCTCGAAAAAATTTTTCAGCTTTGAACTTTACAGCTGCTGCCATCGATCAACTCATCGGGTTACACCTCTAATAATAATGGTCACGGCTTTTCTGAATCATTAAATGATGAATGTTGTAAGCGTTCGTATGATTCAATATGTTGATTATCATCTTCATCATCTATTTGAATATTGATTTGTTCATTTTCTTCATCCAAAAAACATATCTAATGATAGCATAAAATCATCATTATCTCATCTTCGTTAATATCAGTGTCCATTGTTGAGATTTGTTGCTGTTTTTTTTTGGTTGTAGTTTATTTTTTTGATAAATTGAAGAATTCTTTTTTTAATGGTATATTAAATTTGACTTTCTGAGGAGATTTTTTTTCTTGTTTAGAAATCTGATCAAGATTTGTTTGTTTTTTTTTCGAAGATTGAACCATATTTACTATCAACCTAAAAATTTTTCATATACAGTATGAATAGCAAAGAGATTAGCATTTTCATTCGTTGATGAAAAGGAATAATCCAATATAGATCAATGGATTCAATTTGATTAAATATGAGTAACGTCTGAAGAATATATTTATTAATAAAAATAAATGAAATATGCTTTTTTTTTAACATTCAATTGAAACGAGAGTTTGCTGAGTGTCTGAATTGAAAGATAAAGTGTTGGTTAGATAAGCAACAGATCGACGAGCTGTTTGTTTATTTGTACGAGTTGCTATTCTATATTGTTGAAGAATGTCAGGCATAGATTTTTTCTTTGACGTAGTATTAGATTCGGTAGATAAATTAGCTGGAGCACGTCTTTTGAATTGGATAATGAAAGAACTAATCAACGTAATTAATATCAATGAACCAACTATTATACCAACGATACCACTGATGGGAAATGATGAAAATACATGAATTTGTTTTATTGTTGTTGATAAACTTGTTGTTGTAGTTAAAAAAGTCGTTGTTTTTGTTTGTGTTGTTTGTGTAGTTTGAGTTGTAAATGTTCGTAATGTTGGTACCTATGTAAATATGTCAATTATGAAGAAAACAATTAAGATTAAATACTCACTGTTCGATTTAATAAAGTTGTTGTCGATGATCGGGATGTGGTAGTTGTTGTTACTGTTGTACTTGGCTCAGATGCTGTATTAAATGGCCAAAACAATTTATCTGTTATTCCCATTGAATCTCGTAAACAAGTTGATATAGGTAAAAATACACCTGGATCAATTGAAATATAATAATTTTGTCCGGGATTAAAAACAACAGTTGATGAAATAATCAAGCGATCTGAAAGATAATTCACATTAGTTGTTTGTTTTACTACATTGTATGTAACAAAATCTTGTTGAGTCGAAGTGATTTTAAAACGAATAAGAGCCTCAGTACTTGGTCGTACAAATGTTGTTCCTGTTGGATAGATTAATGTCCAGTTTGATTGATATTTTGAAACAAGACCCGTTGGAAAATGAGTTGCATTGTTAATATAGAGAGTATTACGACTTTCTGCAGCTAATTGTACTGTAAAACGGAGACAGTTTGAATCACCTTGATTACCAATTGAGTCAACACCAGCAAAACAAAATAAATTTTGCCCTACTTGATTTGCATTACCTGTATAAGAGACTTTAAAACTATAAATAGTTGTATCATATGGATCAGTAAATGGTGTTGATTGTGTAAAACCAGCTGGATAAACACCAATTACATTAGCTAATGTGGCATTGGGACATTGGATCTTGATTCGAATAAACATTGTAATATTTTGACCGGGTTCAACAAAAATACATTGATCAGCAGGTGCATCACCAATATAAATCGGCTTTAACGAACATGTTACATTTGAATCCCAAACATTAAAAATAAATTGAATAGGTACACGTGAGAGAGATGTAGTACTTGTATCATTTTCAAAATCAAGTACAGTAAATGCTACAGCATAAAAACCAACTGCAGTTGGTACAAAATGAAGAATGCAACTTGTCTCATTGAGAAATGTCGAAGCAGGTAAATTAAGTGCAGATCGACATATACCACCACATTCTTGACTTGTATTTGACCAAATACATGTATATCGATCAAAATCATTATCGGCAACATTTATTTTAATATTATAAGAAAGATAACGACGAAGTCGAATAACCGGTAACATAGTAACAATAGGTGCTTGATTATATCGTCCATTCGGTCGTATATAAGTATTAATTTCTGTTGATACAGACCATGTTCCTCCACCAGTAACCAATGAAAACCATGCTGAACTAGTAAATACTGCTCGAAATCGATAATTTGGTGGAACACGAAAAGTAAATCGTCCTTCACCACTCACATAACTTTCAATTTGATTATATCCAGTACATGGAACAGTTACTGAACTGAGTGTACTAACATTTGGTGGACAAGATGAAGGACAAACAATATTTCCTGAACCAATCATATAATTTCCAGCTGATATGTGAGTATTTGTACATGGCCACCATGTATAATTCCATGCATGACGTTGAAGTATTTCAACAACAAGTGGATTTGATGTTGAGTTTATGACACGCCATGTGATCATTGATCCACGAAAATGAGAACATGATATACGAACGATTAATACTATGAAAAAGATCAGTAATATATCGACTGATTTCATTTTAAAGAATTTTTATGACAGTCATAAAAAAATGTATATATATATATACAATGAATTTTTTTTTCTCTTATTTTTCATAACAAAACAAAAATAAACATATGAAACTATAGTAGATATTTGCTAAATTAGTTTTTTTTTAATTTAAAAAATGATTTCTACGATTTCAATTTCACTCGTCAATAAACAAAATATCTTACTTGAAATTATATTTTTCAGCGAGAGAATACTCTATATATAAAACTTATGAATAAAATTTGCGATTAAATTAAAAGTAAACAATCTAATCAATTGATCTCTTTGTATAATTTTAATGAGATACGATAGAGTGTATTGACAATACACCTGAATAATAATTTAATAGAAAAAAAAAACTATAAACTATTCAAGCCATTACCTCGAACACAAATAATATTAATCAATAATCTATTAGTTAAATGATAGATTTATATTTGATAAAAAAAATTCTTTAATTAACAGTATTTGTCAAAATTAAAACATATATATTTACAAAATATTTTTTATCATATAGTATCATCAATTACGTATTTAATTTAACACATGTAAACAAGTTATATTAGATCTAATAACTCATGATAAAATATCTCAAATTGATATGAGGGCAATTTGAAAATATTTGTTGTTTTTTTTTTATTCGTGAAAATTTTTATTTCTCTGTAAATTACGCACGGTGTTTAGTAAATTAGTTGATAAGATTTATTAAAGTTTTAGCTTTGTTTTGGCTTTGATGTCAATCACATCGATCGTTCGATCATACACTTTCTAATATCGATTTATCAGAAAAAAAAACCATCGTAAAATAATTCGAACTCATACATATAGTATCTTCAAAAGAAGAATAATTCATGTTCTTTCTCTCATAACTTCTTAGTTTGACTATTGAATTTATTTCTCACTTTTATGTTCAATAACATCAAAAAAAAAAACAATAATCTCACATTTCGAAGAGAACTGGTATTCATCTATGTCACCTTTTTAAGTATCCTCGACGTTACGAGCATATTATTGCACTCTACTAAACCAACATTGCAGCTACTTTCCTCTGATTACATTAAGAACAAAAAAAAAACCGAACTTTTTTGTCTTGCATTTATGTAGGAAGCGAGTAGTTATTGATAAGGATGTTCTAAATGTAGTCATAACAAAAAGAAAAGGATATAGAAAGTAACAATAGATAAGATAAATCTATCAAGTACATTTGCGTTCACATATAGTTCCTAATAGTATAACTGAATTCACTAACATAAGGAAGGATTAATTCAGAGAAAAGGTTGTTGAATGTTTATACAATTTCTCATCTTCATTGGATTCTTAATATATATATATATGTATAAATTAGATTAAATATTTGTATATCAATGATGAATAAATCTATTAACGATCAAACAAGTGTTGATATTAACAATGGTACTTCAGGTAATATTAGTATAAAGCTTGGCGTATGTATAAGTGCGAATATTATCTATAATGTGACAGACAGCGCCGATTTTTTTTTGGTTGGTATAACACATGATAAGAGACAGGAAACAACCATAAACAACTATTCTTTCTGCTTGTAGTGTACAAATGTCAGTTTCAAGGACGAAAACAAGAGATGCCACTAGAGTTTTGTATTTTGTTAAAAAATAACAGAAAAGATTTCCCTTTCAAACTGTTTTATTTTATTCGTTTTTTTTTTTACATTTTTTCAAATAAGATTTGTGTAAGAAGCATTTTTATATTACTTTTTTTCTTTTTTTTTTTTTACAGTAATAGGTACAGTATCGAGCGACCTTCTTCTCGATCACCTCCCACTACGATGTTCGACGCCAGCTTTCAAGAGTAGGCTACCGTCGTTTCGAACATTGCCATTATCCTCTTCGTACACGGACACTTCTATTGTACAAACATCAACAAACAGTAACAACGCATATAAATCTTTTTCTTTTCGAAAACATTCATCGTCTGAAGTAGATTTAAATAACATTGAAAATTATTCAAATTTAATGTCTTCATCAATGTTTCGTACACCTTCGTTTGCAATGTTAAAACCATCTTCATTTAATCAAAAACGAGAAAAAGAAAGATCTGAATTATCAACATTAAATGATAAATTTGCTGATTATGTTGAAGCAGTTCGATATTTTGAAGCACACAATAAAAAGATTCAGATGGATGTGAATCTTCTTAATGAAAAACAACGTGAAATTTGTCAAAAAACTAAAACAATATTTGAAACAGAAGTTACACAATTAAAACAAGTAGTTGAACAATTATTAAAAGAAAAAAATAATTCATTTGCTACTGCTCAAAATGCACAGGTTTGTATATCTTCCTAATAATAATTTTAAATTTAAAATTTTGTATTAAATTTATCATCAAAATCTTTTTTTATTTTATTTTCCTTTATTAGAATCCCATTCTTCCATTAAAACAACAATTAAATCAAACTTTTAAAGAACGTGATTCATCAAAATATGAAACTGATAAAATTGAAAGACACTTATCATCTATTGAAGGTGATATTCAAATGTATAATCGTCGTATTGCTTATCAAGATACTGAACATGAAAAATGGAAACAATTTATTAATCATATTCAACGTCTTTTATTACAAGGAAAAAATGAAATTCAAAATGAAATTTTAATGCATACATCATGTGATCAAGCAGTAAAACGATTACGTCTTGATATAAGTCGATTACATGAACAAGAACAACAAAAATTAAATGATGTTAAACAATCATCATTTATTTTAAGTTCAAATGGAACAAATGAACGTGCACTTATGTTTAAATCTGAATTAGGAAATGCTATAAGAAGAATTCGTCAAGATTTTGAAAGAGAACATGATTTACAACGTAATGAATGTTATCAAAAATTTTCACAATCATATGATGAAATAGTTCGACAATATTCAGAATTTGCAAATTTTTTATTAAATGAACGTGAACAAGAACGTATTAAACAAGAAGAAGAACATATACGTTTAGAAATTCAACATATACGAACAAATACTGATGTATTAAAACAAAAAAATTCTGAATTAAAATTACATATACGTGAATTAGAAATTAATTTTGAAATGAGTGAAAATGAAAATAAATGTATTCAACAAACACAACAAAATCAAATTGATCAATGGAAATTAAAACATGAAAAAATTACTAAAGATTATGAAGATGTTACAAATAAACAAATATCATTAGAACAAGAAATTGAAACATATAGAAATTTATTAGAAGGTACTATGAAACCAGTTATTGATAATATTACAGAAGGATATAATTTAATGACTACTAATCAAATGAAAAAAGAAAAACAAAAGAATTTATTCAATCAAAAACCTCTTTCAACAAGTGTTGATTCAATATTATCAACATCTTATCCTTTAAGTACATATGATACTAATAATTCGCATGTTTCCTTTATGACTTTGAATCTTAATAATGATCAATCAAGTCATTCATCAATACCCATTAGAGATAGTTTAACAACAACATATAAAAATAATTTTGAAAAAAGTCAAAGTGTTGAAGATATATGTGTTAAAACTAATGATAATGATCAATACGTGGTAGAAAAAAATGAACAAGCAAATGTTGAATCTTTATCAAATAATCGAATACCAATACATATTGAAACACGACGAAAGAACTAATTAATTTTTTTTAAATGACTATGCTTTTTCTAGTGCTTTATTTTATTCTTTAGATGATAAACGAAGTATATAAACCAAAGAAGGAAAAAAAACTCTAGGGAATATTTAATTAGAGAATGCATTAAAAAATACATTCGAACAACTACTCAAATTGATTGTCAATAGAAAAACTCATATAAATGTTGATTGTTTTTTATTTATTTAAAAAAGTAAATAATATTTCACCTTAATGTAATCTCAATTATTCAGATTTTAAAATCAAGGTTGTTTTTTTCGAGTTTTGGTTTTTCATTGCTAATATAGCTTCGAAGTCTACTCTGTTAAATGCCATAAAATTGAAGGCTCTTCATTGTTAATTAAAAATTCGTGCTACGATTATTCTTCGTATGGGAAATTCTCCTAATGATAATGATTATTTCTCATTGCAAAAGATACTGAGAGCATGGATCATTGATCTCTAACATTGCTGAACACGTCTAGTTTTCGATCAGTTTAATTGGAGAAAAAAGTCCTGATACAAACAGCAAAATTTGTTTTTCATTTTTCTCGAAATCAATTTTTTATACAAAAAAAGTACAAAACTGCCGCGATTTCTCCAACATAATATGCTCGATAGAACTGAAACTTACAGATTTTACAAAAAAAAAACTCTAATAAAAAGAAATCAAAAGCATTATGCATCCCAAACAGTGTCTGATATTTATAAAAAATAAACTTTCAGCTCGATTCGATGTATTGTAGTTGAGAAAGTGGAGTGGTGGTTTTTAGCCTTTACGACATAGATATTTCCCAGAAGGAAGTATTTCGGAATTTGGAGTCTACAATGACTTTTGTTCTACTCATCGAGATCTGTCTACCCTGGAAGTTTCAAATATTTCTGATGAACCGTCCGTCCGAAACTTCGTAAAGCGGGATTTCCTTAACGTTTGATGCATGCACATGTTCATTGATGTTTATCTTCCATAACAACACTAAGAACCCATGTCCACATGAACGCATCGGTACGCGTGACATCACGTACGGCAGAAACGGGTGACGAACATAGACGTGACGCCACGCGTTACGGTAGCTGTACAAAGCGTGACGCCATGCGTACGAAGCTAGCACATAACGTGATGTCATGCGTACGAAGTGTACCAGCGTGATGTCACGTGTACCAATAGCGTTCCCGTGGACATGGGAATATAAATCATAAATGATATTGCAGACAAGCGACTGCAAGATGATATAACACTAGTTCCAATAATGACTGCTACTTTTATTCCAGTATTCGTGCTTATATAGATGGTGCTACATCAGTCACAAGAAGTTCCACCACCGGGAAAACACATTCGCTGTAATC